GCCCCCTCGATTACTTCCTATCTGCATAAAGACTTGACTGGGGACGTGTTTCATTCATTCTTTCGCTACTCCCCTTCCAAACGGTAGTATTTCCCGCCATGTCTTCTGCAGTAGCTGAACTGGAGAACCTTCTCCAATCCATGCTGGCCCTCAAGCCGCCTGGCGTATCTGGCTCAAAGATTGGTGGCATCACGAACTTGTGCAATGCCAACGTGCAGGTACGCTTGTCCCCTTTGGTCGATTGATTCATCTCATTGGTCCTGTGTGATCCATGATATGCTAACCCTACCCACAGAATGAATCAGTTCTCATCCAGAAGATTTACACTCACTTCAAGAAGGCCCCCGGCTCTCACAAGCTGGGTGTGCTTTATGTGGTAGACTCAGTAACTCGCCAATGGGTAGAGGCTGCGCGCAAGGCCGGACAGGTTCCTGGCGGTGATGCGCCGGATGGAACTTACGCCGCTGGTGTCAAGCGTGTCACTGATCTCTTGCCCATCTTGATGACAGATATCATCAATAACGCTCCCCATGACCAAAAGGTACGTAATGAGACATACCTGTATCATCAACCCCATACCCCAGGATCGCAGCCCTGGTGAGATAGTCAAGCTTCGCATATTGTATCCTTGCCTCGATGTACTTCGATCCGAAGATCCTGCTGCCCTGACTAGACCGTTTTGGACAAGTAACTGACACATATCTCGTCAATTTAGGACAAGATCAAAAAGCTAGTCGACATCTGGGAACGTGGTGCGACTTTCCCGGCCCCGATGCTCGCTTCGTTCAAAGAGAAGCTGAACGCTGCTCAAAGTAAGTCCCCAATGATGTCAAGATATGCCATCAATACTCACAATGCACTAGATGTCGAATCGAACACCCCCGAAGGATCCCCTGCACCGAACGCCAACCCGATCGGAATCCCGCAACAATCGGCGACACCTGATACCTCGAGCATCCTGAAAGCTTTGGCCGATATGGCCAAGCAGAACACTACCGCGCCTGCTGCACCTTCCGCACTTGCGCCGGCCAACCCTCTGGGTGCTTTCAACTCGGCCTCTGTGACCCCTGCCAATGATCCAAGTTCGCATATGGCTGCTGCCATGAATGCACTCGGCGCCGGTGGACCTGCCGCGACTCCCTTTGCGGGTATGGCCGGCATGGCTCAGAACCCGGCTCTCCAGCCGCAGAGTCAAAGTGGAACTCCGATCTCGATGCCCGCCGCGAACCCGCTGACCTCAATGCTTCCTCAGGCTGCGCAGCCCGCCGCACCTGACTCGAACGCCATGGCACAGCAACTACAACTTCTTCAGATGCTCGCTGCCCAGGGTATCCCCCAGGACCAGTGGGGCACTGCCTTACAGCTCTTCAGCATGACCAACAACAATGCCATGGGCGGTATGCCGGGTATGCCTGCGATGCCTGGAATGCCTGCGATGCCTGCGATGCCCGGAGGACCGATGGCTGGATTCAACCCGATGCAAGGACAGAACGTTGGTGGATGGGGTCACTCGGACTCCCAGAACAAGGACGATCGTGGCCGTGAATACCCTCGCTCGCCGCCCACTGGATATCGTCGTCGTTCTCGTTCTCCGGGCTGGGATAGACGCCGTACTGCTTCGCCCCCTCGCCGTCGTGACAGCCCTGTCTATGGAGAATATGAATCGCCTGGTCGTCGTGGAGACCCGCGTGATGCTCGTGGCCGTCGTGGTAATGAGTATCGCCAGCGTAGCCCCCCTGGTGGCCGTGGCGGTAGACGTCGCTCGCCTTCGCCTGCTCGTAACAAGGATCCCAATCTCCCTCCCCCTGGACCCAAGTTCATTGAATGGGACTATTCGATCGGCCAGGGTATGATTAAAGTCTTGAGCCGAACTCTTTTCGTTGGTGGTGTTACCTCCTCCGAGGCCCACCTGCGTCAGCTCTTTGGTCAGTTTGGAATTGTTCAGACTTGCATTGTCAATGTCGACAAGCGCCACGCTTTTATCAAGATGGTTAGCCGGACCGATGCCATGCAGGCACGTGATGGAATGGAATCTTACCGTACCGGCGAGATGCAACTCAGGGTAAGTCCTTTTCTTGTTTTTATAATCCATGGATCTTATCACTGACCTTATCAATATAGACTCGTTGGGGTGTTGGCTTTGGCCCCCGTGACTGCAGCGATTACCAGACTGGAGTCAGCATTATTCCGATTGAGCGATTGACCGAGGCTGACCGCAAGTGGATGCTTTCGGCAGAGTATGGTGGAACCGGTGGACGTCCCATTGAATCTGGAATGATTGTTGAAGAGCCCGACATTGAAATCGGCGCAGGTGTCTCCTCCAAGGCTATCAGCCGCCGCATCGCCACTGACACTGGCGGCAAGCGGGGCCCAATTTCCACTCGCACTAATCCCAATCCCCAGGACACTCGTTTCGGCGGTCGCCGTCCTGAGCGTGATGGATACGGTGGCGGTCCTCAGATGGGTGGTGAACTTGACATGCCTAATATGAACAACCAGGGAGCCGCACCTGCAGTTCCTTCCTATGGTTTCAACTTCGCTAGCATGCCCATGTTGCCCCCTGGATTCATGATGGGTGGTGGTCAGCCCGGTATGCCCGGTGCGCAGCCTCCCTCCGGTGGCCAGGGCAACTGATTTTTCTTGATACCTCATTGATGCGTGCATATATGGTCCAAATAGGTTGCGCGCACCGCGCATGGCAAAGGCGTTGGGGGATTGGACTTTTTTTCTTTCTTTCTATCTCGAGGCATATCATTTCGGCGGGGGTAGGTTTTCGTTCTTTCTGCACTTCTCTTACCTTTAATTTCCACAGTTGTGCATGAGGTCACCGATGATTGTTAAATCAGGTGGATACATTAGGGTCAAACAAACTTATGACAGAATTCAAATAACTCATTTACATGATCCCATGCTTCCCTCGTAGGGGTTTTCGGCGCAATCTCCCTAGGGTAAATCTACGGACATGTCTTACTTGTATTGTAGTATGCATCTTTTAAAGTGTTCATTGATATCGTATCGAGGTCATCACTAAGTTCACCAAGCTGCTATGTAGTGTCCTTTCGCATTCCATCTTCATGCTCGAAAGCATTTTGATCTGTCAGAACCATCAAGCAGTACGGTCCGGCAGAGCCTTTAATGCCTGGAACGATTGCTCAAAGTCGGCAATGATATCGTCAATGTACTCCGTGCCAACCGAAATGCGGATTCCATCCTCCTTGACACCGGAGTCACGACGCTCCTGCTCCGTGAGCTGCTCATGGGTGGTGGACCAGGGGTGGATGGCCAGGGTCTTAGAATCGCCGACACTGCAGTGTGTTAGTAAAAGCATTCAAAGGAGAGCGAATAGGAATGAGCCATACTTGGCAAGGTTCGAGATCAACTTGAAGTTGTCAACGACCTGAGCACCAGCGGCAGCGCCACCCTTGATGCCCACAGACAGCACACCACCAAAGCCGCGGGGCAGGTACTTCTTTGCGAGCTCGTGACTAGGGTGATCCTCCAGACCGAGGTATGACACCCAGCTGACATTCTCGTTCTCCCGCAACCATTTAGCCAGGGCGAGAGCGTTGGTTGCGTGTCGCTCGCAGCGCAGACTCAGAGTCTCTATGCCGAGTATCAACTGCTGGGCACCGAAGGGGTTCAGGGTGGAACCGAGGTCGCGCAGGATCTCAACGCGCACTCGGATAGCATACGCAAGCGAGCCGAATGTCTCCCAGAACTTCAACCCGTGGTAACCCTCGGATGGCTCGACGAATTGGGGGAACCGGGTAGCGTTCTTGCCCCAATCAAACTTTCCACTGTCAATCACAACTCCAGCAATGGTGGTACCATGGCCACCAATCCACTTAGTAGCACTGTGCACGACAATATCGGCACCGTGGTCAATTGGGCGAACAAAGTAGCCACCTGCACCGAAGGTGTTATCGACCTAAAGTAATAATCATAAGCTTTGTATCCTCGCACGCTTCTCAAACAAGCAACATACCACAAGCGGAACACCCTTCTCGTGTGCGACCTTCGCAATGGCCGCAAAGTCCGGAACATTGTAGCGGGGGTTACCAATAGACTCAACGTAGACAGCCTTGGTGCGATCATCAATGGCCGCAGCAATATCCTCAGGATTGTCACCCTGAACAAACTTGGTATTAATTCCCAGGCGCGGGAGCATAACCTTGAACTGGTTGTACGTGCCGCCATACAGGTTACTCGTGGAGACGATGTTGTCTCCTGCTTGGGCGAGGGCCGAGATGGCCATGAATTGGGCTGCCTGGCCGGAGGAGGCAGCAACGGCGGCAACACCACCTTCTAGAGCTGCAAGTCGCTTCTCAAAGACATCGACTGTTGGGTTCATGATTCGGCTATAGATATTGCCGAACTCTTTGAGGCCGAACAGCCTCGCGCCGTGGGCCGAGTCATTGAACACGTAAGAGCTAGTCGCGTAGATTGGGACAGCGCGTGAGTTTGTGGCTGAATCAGGTTCGTGACTTGAGCTTTAGGTTAGATTTGTCTTTGAAGGGAAACTGGACACTTACCCAGCATGAAGCTGCAGGGTGTCAAAGTGGAGATTCTCGGACATGGTTCAAGATATCAGAATGAAGTTAAGGCAAGAGAATGTCCAATAGTTCAGATTTTTCACACTCTTAGGATTGAATTGAAGACAAAGAAACTAAAGAAGATCAAGTGGAAAAATAAAAAGGGACGATCTTAAGATGGCGGGGAGCAAATGGTGGGGTGCAGATGGCGTGATTGGGGGTTTATACTCCGGGCATGTTCCTGCATTTGATAATACATGTATGTTAGGTATGTATTAGCTAGTCTTGCTTCCTTTGAGCCTCTTTAGGCAAGAGAGACTACATTGAAATCGAACATCTTAGGCTTTTCAGTCTACGAGGTATATACAACAGTGAGGATTCGCTGGTGTAGCCCGGGTGAAGCCCATTCTGCTGATCAAGAAAGAAGAGAGAAGCCATCTAAAACAGCCGATCACACGCGGGAAAAGACTAGATAAAGACCAATTCTTCCAGCTTGCCCTTGTCGAGGAACTCATTGATCCTCCTCCTGTCAGGCGGAATCATTATCTCAGATGCCTCTTGACTTTGCCAGATCTCCGGGGTGTAATATAAGCTTGGCAAATCTTCATAGACTAGATGGAGATTGCTCCGGATGAATGTTTCATATCTGACCTTCTCCAATGATGTCTCCTTGTCGGCTATCTTCCTGGAAGCCTCGGCACGAGCCATAGCAGTTAAGAAAATCTGGATCCAGAACATCTTATGTGTGACCGAATCGACCCGAGGACCTGTCATTTTCTCTGCTTGTTCCAATGCAGTTTCTCCTGGCAAGCCGTTCTCTGATCCCATTATAAGCTTCCTATATAAATATAGTAGCATGTGCGAATGGGTGGATATACTGGGAGAATCCGCCATTGGGGATCCAGCCAGTGCCTGTACATCCTGGATGACCCAGATTGCCTGGAAAGAAAGGCACTCAATGGTTGGCAACTTAGGGCTATTCTGTAGCAGAGCAGTCTCCATTTGCTTGAAGAGAGCGGCTTGCTTTTGGGATTGGGATGAGATGGTGATGACATTTGGTATCGGCTTGAGGTCTGGTTGGACAAATGCCACACGTGCGGAAATGCTATTCCAGACCTTCTCCGAGTAATAGCGTTTCCAAGTAGACGAGTTCAGTTCGAAAAGCGCGTTGAGAGTAGCGGAGCTAATGCGTGATGCAGGGACATCAACTATCGACCTTTCACTCGTTGAACTCCCTGGAGCTGCCTCAAGTGACTGGATAGCAGCATGAACTACTTGAATCCAGAAATAGGCCTGTGTTTCGGAATAGGGGGGAACGGATGAGTTGGTCGTTCTAAGGCGGATTGTCGTCATCTTTAGCGAATCAAGTGCTTCCTTGACCACTTGACCGCGCCGAGCGCCTGAAGTGAGAGTGTATTGAACAACTGCAAAGGCGTATTGGAGGAGCCGGTTCGGGTTGCTGATTTGTCCGGGAAGAGAATCATGATTTAGACTTGATAGTCCAGGCAGGGGTCGCAGGTCAGGAAGTGACCATGACTCCCGTGCTGTTTCAGAAAACATATGCTCCTTGCTGTAGTATAGTCTCCAAAGGCCGGTATTAATTAATGACGGCGTGTAGAGGAGGACTTGCTGAAAGTCATTCCAGGATGGGAATTCTTCTTTTCCTGTGTGGAGTTTGTATTTCAAAATAGCATTCTGCAGTTGTAGGAGCCAGAATATTGTCATTGTTCTTTGATATATTTCAGCACAAGTCCTTTGAAAGGATCATCCGATTTAGGTCTCTTACCGATGCTCTGTATTTCGAAAAAGATCGGGTTTCATCGTTCTCAGTCTCCTTATATGCCCAAGGAAAGTTTCCGCCATATCGAACACATTCTTCCCTTCCTTGATTGACTCCAAGGTAATAATGAAGCCTGACTTGAGGTGACTGCGATGGTCCCACCCTGTCAAATCAGCACTCAAAAACGAATGCCAAAATTGCTGAGGATCCATATTATCTTCGGAGCCTTCTTTTTCAATTCGTACTTTGAGGTTGTGATCCTCTGATGCCCCCTCTTTCTGCGACTGCTTTGGAACAGGGTGCTTAGGTATCTGTTGCTGATGGTGATCTTGTTCTATGCTAGTGATGAAGGCATGTAGATCCTCCATAACCTGCTTGACCCCTTCCCCAGTCTTGCCACTCACAGGATAATCAATGACTTTGCATTTGACAGAATCGTCAAATATTTCCTTTAATCTTTTGTCATATACCAAGCGTAGATGATCAATATCTTGTGCAGACAGAGAGTCTTGAGAGTCTTGCTTGTTTAAGATAATCCATAAACTTCTATAACCCACCTTGAGCATTTCTTTGCCAATGATAGAGAGGAGATCGAGGCTTTCTTGTGTGTATTCCTCATCCATGGTACAGTCATGGAAGAACAAGACGGATGTGTCTGGGGAACAAACGTATGCTAACCAATTTGGGTACCGAAAGCATCCCACTAGATGCGTTTAGAACAAGGATAAGTTGTCCAGAAAGGAGAATTGACGTACTTCCAGTATCCCAGATCATATATGGGTGACATTTATACTCAAAGGATTCGAGGTAGTGGCCTATGGTTGGAATTGCATCGACTGCTTGACCAAGAATAAGTTGGGAAAGAAAGGTAGTCTTCCCAGATGCCGCCTCTCCAAGAATAAGAACTTGCCGTTCAGAATACCCACGGAGCCATTTAATGACGCTTTGCAGTGCCATGGGAGCCATGTCAAGAGTATAAAATGAGAAAGACAGAGTATCGACTGCTGATCAGAACAACCTCCAGAACAACCTCGGCTCCAGGGCTTGAGCTCTGGAGGTGGATGAGTCAGGGTACTGAAATGCGCTAGTCCAGTTATGGCAACTCTTAGGGCATGGGCTTGTACTACTTTTCACATGCCAATAATAACACTATCCTAAGACAAGCCGTGTGCTTCTGTGACATAGTCGATGTCGAATGTCGATATCTGAATCAGACTCGACACAGAAGCAAGTTCGTCGTTTGAATACACCCGCTCTTTTCACCATTCAAGATTTCAGATATGTTTCCTAGCGCAAAGTGAACTGAGCTCTAACCCGAACATAAATAACATCGAAAACAAAAATCTTCCGCATTTTCCACGGTCTATTTTAGTTCATTAAGCTTTACTCCATTTGACTCCATATATCCCCAAATGGATTTCGAAAAAAGTGGACCTGCGCGGGATTGAACCACGAATCTCCGAGGAACCGCATGAAAACTCCCGGGGGATGTTTACATAAGCTCGGCGCCTTAACCATTGGGCCACAGGTCCTATGTCGCAAACCCGTCGTGGATTGTCTACATTATAAGATGACTTCCTATATCCTCAACCTCTCCCAACCCCAAGCCCGTACAATATACAGAGTATCAGCCTTGGTTATTCACTTGGTTTGTATGTACAAGTGCCAGGGCCACCATCGCCCCCAATCAGACTGATTTAGTCCAATGAATGATGAATGCGATAAATGCGACTTATGGACACTTGCATTATTCTGGAGAGCAAAGTAAAGTGAAAATCGGTTTATCGGAGTGGGTCACGTGTGTGGCTTGAGCCCTACCGCTCTACATGCAAAGACTACAACATCAAGGGCACCTTGCTACTTGCTGTATGATCACTTTTTCGGGTTCTTGGTGTATATTGCAGCCTTGTAATATATAGAGTGTGATAAATGGTTCTCTCGATCCATACACTCCGATATCAAAGGGCCAAGGGTACAGTCATCTGTCTTTATCTACATCGATCTGTAGAAATGTCGACTTGATACTCTTCATCATGCCTGGTTGAATTAATTAATGTCTCTGGTGTGAGTTCAAAGCTAGGATATGTGTTGCAAATGCAGCGCAGGTGCAGGAAACCAAATAGATCAGCCATATATATAGAAACACCCCCTTTACTTGAGATGCAGATCTCTGTCCAGGTGAGAATAGGCTACGCTCTGGCCATCTACGGGATGTTTTTGATGTCATGCAACCATATGCAGTCATTTAACCGATCTGACCTATGGCGTTAAATTTAGTCTATAAGGGGAATAGTTCGCTGCATTCTTTTACCATGTCATATTAGCCGTATAATTCTTTCGATGAACCAATCATTTCAATGAACTTCGGTTTTTCTTTATTTCTCGCCTCTCGTCCGGGGCCCCGCATCCCAGATTTCATGGGGAATCCCCAGAAGTCACATAATTCCCATATGTATTGGCCAATTGAAAGCCCTGGAATTTGAACTATCCCCAGCCTTCTCTCCCAAGCCAGTAACTCGTAAGCGCCACAACCTTCCTAGTCAGCCAATTCTCGACGCCCTCGGTGGTGGCTAACCTTTTCTAGTCGCAGCTAAGCCTCTAGCCCGTCTCGGCGTTGGCCACTCTCGGATAAATTGCTGTAACAGTCGTACTTTCGGGAAACGGGTAATACCCCGGCGGGACAGGTTGCATCCCTGTCCATACGATCGTTGAGTTGTTTGACCAACTCTCAGATGGCAGAATTAGTCCACGTATCACGCGCATGCCATGCAGCTCTGCAAACGCGCACAAGCGGTAAGATATAAAAGACCCCAGTTTGTCCTTTTTGCTTTTCCTGAGCTTTTGATTCTCATTCCCTTTTTGACCTGGAAATAACGACTATTTCCGAAAATGTCATCCGACAAAAGTGATGACTTGCACGAGAAGGCTGCCGTTGAGCAATCTGAGGTCTTGGTCAACAAGGATCTCATGAAGGATGCCTTCGATGGAGAGAACCGCGAACATGAGATGACAACGTGGGCGGCCATGAAGAGCCACCCCTGGGCTTGCTTGTGGGCATTCACCATGTGCTTCACTATTGTGAGTTTATGCTTACTTTTCTATTTCCCCCGCATTTCAGGTTCATCTCCCCCGGATCTCGAGATCATGTCAGCTGATCCATATATATCTACCATCAGGTCATGGAATCGTTCGATATGTTCCTAAATGGTAACTTTGTCGCGCTTCCCGCATTTAAAGAACGGTATGGCGTCGACGTCGAGGGACACGGTTACACTATCCCGACCAAATGGCAAAGCTCCCTCTTCCAGGCCGGTCAATGTGGCGCTTTCGTCGGTGTTTTCTTGGCTGGTCCTATCACCAATCGGTTTGGCTACCGCTTGACTACCATCTTCGCCCTGATCCTTATGAACGCCACCATTTTTATTTCCTTCTTTGTGAGTAAGCCACCTCCAATGGTTGAACTTATTCTCTAACTGCACCTAGGCCGACTCACTCACCGTCCTTGTGGTCGGCCAGGCTTTAGAAGGTATCCCTTGGGGATTCTTTATTGCAAACTCCCCCGCCTATGCCAGTGAGATTGTTCCTCTCTCCCTGAGAGGTGCCTGCACGGCTACTCTTCAAATGAGTTGGTCCATCGGTTCAATCATTGTCGCCGCCGCAACCTACGGCTACAATAAGCGCAACGATGAGTGGGCTTGGCGAGTGCCTCTTGCCTTACAATGGATCTTTCCTGTGGGTCCTCTCCTTTGAGGTATGTTTTTACATACTGACTCCTTCTAGACTCCTCTCTTGATCCTCCTCTTCTTCGCCCCCGAATCGCCTTGGTGGCTGATTCGCCGTGGACGCAAAGCAGAGGCCCTTCGTTCCATCGAGCGTCTTGGTAGTGAATCTCACGAGCAAGCTCAGCAGTCACTTGCCATGATAGAACGAACCGTTGAGATCGAAGCTCAAATGGGCGGTGCCCCAACTCTCCTCGACCTTCTCAAGGGCACCGATTTAAGACGAACCATCATCACCTGCTTGATCTACGCGTCGCAGAACTTTGCCGGTAACTTGATTGCCAACCAGGCAACTTACTTCTTCGAGCGTGAGTAGCTCCTCCTCTCCCCCTAAATTCAATAGATGACTGACTCCCTACTTAGAGGCCGGAATGGGTTCCGACCGTTCATTCCAACTCAACCTGATCAACTCGTGTCTTCAATTAGTTGCCAACATAATCTCTTTACCCCTGGCCTCTTCATTTGGTCGCCGAACCATCTATCTCTGGGGCACAGTCACCAACATGATCCTACTCCTGCTCCTCGGCGTCTGCGCCTCTATCAGCCAGAACACAGCGACCAACTACGCCCAAGCCGTTCTGGGAATCATCATCTCCTTCGTCTTTGCCGGTAGTCTCGGACCCATTTCATACACTATCATTGCCGAGAGCTCCTCCGTCCGTCTTCGCGCCTTGAGCACCGGTGTCGGTCGTGCCGCGTATTATGTCGCCGAGATCCCCATGATCTACCTTGCCTCGCAAATGCTTAACCCTACTGGATGGAATCTCGCTGGAAAGTGTGGTTACGTCTGGGGAGGTACCGCATGTGTCTGCTTTGTGTCGGCCTACTTCTTCCTTCCTGAACTCAAAGGCCGCTCTTACCGTGAAAGTGATATCTTGTTCAATCGCAAGGTTCCTGCCCGGAAGTTCAAATCGACCGTTATTGATGTTAGGGAGAACGAGTAAGGCATGGCGGTATGAAGAAATGAGATATGCTTTTGTGCTTCTGAAGCGTGATAAATCAGAAGAAAAGCTTTTTTTTAAAGACCATTAAGTCCTCTCGTAAATGTTGCAAGCTTTCCACCGAGTAGATGTGCGTAGCAGATACTTTCGCTTCACTCTACTAATACATTGGCCTTGGTACAGAGGACACTAGCAAATGTACCAATAAGAAGGCTTCATCATAATATAAAATATACATGCACTTGATGCTAAATAGACGAAACAGGAAGCATAAGTTTAACACTCAATTCGGTTGTCCAGCGCCCTTTTTGGCATGTTTTCGATAGCCGTGTGCTAGAAATAATGCTCTTCTACCTATGAGCTATGCAGCTTCTTATTCGGTTTGGTGGGTATGTTCCAAGGCGGTTAGGTACAGAAGTACACTGTACATATACCAAGTCTTTATACGACCATACTTATAAGTTATAGCTATGATGGTGATATTTTGTATGTCAATTAGAGGATTCCATTGCCTATAAAGTAGCAAATACATTATATGAACGATCACATCGAGCTCGGTACATTTAAGAACGGAGACAATCTAGAGAGATATATAGCAGGGTTACACGTGGATGAGCTAGCTGCTCATATGGTTAGCTCTAGTTAGTGAATAAGATACGAGGTCTGAGCAGTACAGCGGAAAGGAAAATTGAATGAAACAGCAGAGGATCAAGTACCTGTGTAGGTAGAAATAGTAAGAATAGTACAACCAAAAATGCCACCCTTGTAGTTAAAACACCGACGCTATCAAATCACAAAAAGAAAAAACATACAACACAACACAATTGCGCGAAAACTCCACCAGCGGATAGGAGATCTTTCACCGTCCCATAGATTGCGTCACTATGTAGGCAAGTAGAAGACCTGGTCATATTGGTAATACATTCTCATCACGGGGAACTCTTCATCTCAGTACTCTTCGTCTCAAAACTCTTCGTTTCAGAGTTGGCAACATCGTTTGGAGCCTTTTCAGATTGAGCGACTGAAGCTGACGTTGAGCTCTCCTTGCAGGGCTTGTCCGACAGCTTGGCCTCGGCGGCGGCCAACTTGGCATTGGTTGCGTCCAAAGTCGTCTTCAGGGCCTTGATGTAATCAATGGCCATCTCCACGGCGGTAGCCTTGCTGATAGCCTGGTTGGCCTTTTCTTTCTCTTTTTCCTTCTCGTTGGCCCTGCCACCGGATTCTGCGGCGTCCTTCGCGCTGCGTGCATCGATGAATTCCTGCGGAATAAGAAGCTCAATCTCCTTAAGCGCATTGTTGATTCGATTGCGGCGCCCCTGCTCTGCGAGCTTGTGGTTCGTGCGCTTGGAGCTCAGGTTCTCTGCCAGGGCCTCTGGATAGCTCACACCCGATGGCAGAGTGCCGTCGAGAATGTGTTGATAGTTGGACTTTGATGCAAGATAAAGCGCATCTTGTGACATGCCTAGAATATAGTTAGTATAACAGCCATGGAACTCAATTCTGGTCAAGACTCACCCTCGCTGCCTTTCATAAGTGGCTGAATGCTGGGACTAATCTTGGGTCGCAGCTGTGGGCTGGCCTGGGTGGAACTCAAACTAGGTCGTTTCCGATTAGACGCAGCCCTGGTATCTGATTTCCGAGGGACCGGTCCACTGGGAGATGGCATTGCAGTTGTGCGTGGACTGGGAGCAAGAGAGGCACTGAGAGGCTTATCGTGCGCCGAAGGACTCAAGAAAGGTGTTCCATTCGTGGGGATTGACGGAGTCCGTACAGCGGTGTCGATGCGGTTGGGTCTCGGACGCAGCTGCGAAGGAGCGGCCGCCTCTGGAAGTGATATATCTTCCATTATATCATCTGGGAACTCAGGCTCTGCGAGCTGCGCTTGGCCGCGGAATTGGCCTGCGGGGTCTTGCGAATGCTGATTCCGCTGAATGCGCATCAAAAGCGCAGGGGTGGCAGCAGTACCGGGAGAAGAGCTTTGAACATGGGGAGCAATTGCAGGAGACATCCGAGGGGGAGGAAGAGCGGGAGGGGGCATCATCGGTTCTGACAATGGCTCAGGGGATACCGAGTCCTGGCCGGAACCTTCATTGCTGCTGAGCTGGAGTGAGCGGATGCCCTGATTTTGCGGCTTTGTGGAGTTCATCTCCTGGGTAAGGCTATTGTAGAACTCCTCCGAGTTGGTAGCCAAGGTGCTGCGTTTGCGCTGCGCCCGAATAATGGGTGATTGCTTGACCTTCCGTGTGTTATTGAGCCGATTAGCGGTTGATGGCCGCTGACGAGTGTTGGGCTTCCGAATAATGCTAGGAGAAGGTGGAGCCGAGCTTCCAGGGAGAGGGTTCACTTCCGTAGTTGTGGGAACGAAGCCCATATCCGAAACCTGTCTTGCGTGGTACTGGTAACTGCTGGATTCGGAGTTTTGGGCCTCGAGGGCGGGAGAGGTGAGAGGTGTAAAGTATTCGCCGGGGATTGTGTATTCGGGGAGTCGGAATTGGTTCTCCAGGGGCGTCATAGCCGGTGAGATAAGAGGAGTGTAAAGGGCCTAGGTCGTTAGCCAGCAAATTCATTCTCGGATTGTGTCAAGACTAACCTGTTCCTCGTTCATGCGCGAATATCCGTCGTACATATCCGTTTCGTCCACGCGATGGGGGTATCGGGCGGTATTGCCATGCATCTCGATACTGTTCGGGGTGGGAGGGATCATGTTGTGGCCCTGCATATAATGTTGGTGGGTAGGCGGTTGCGACATAGGCGATGGTTGCTGCGCGCAAAAGCCTGGCGTCATATGGGGAGTCGAGTAAGGCATTGAGTTGCCGTGGTGCGTGTGCGACTGTGTGTTATCATTGAAATCCATGAGGCCCTCCATCTGGCCCGAGTATTGCATGCCATGTGATCGTAGGTGAGCCATATCCGAGTCTGGGCCGGTGGAAGTTGGTAGGGAATGGGAATGTTGCATATTCCCTGTTCCTGGTCCGTGCTCGATTTCGGGAAAAGGTATGTTGAAATCGAACAGGTTGGAAAATTCTTCCTCACCAGGCGCACTGATGAGATTATTCTCATGCAGCTGCTCTGGCCACGACATGGCTGGTTGTTCCATTTTTTGAAATAGGAGATATCCAGTTGGGCCAATTAGGCCGAGAGAGAACTGGGTGTTGAAGTAGCCACCTGCAGCATACAGAGAAGATCCGAGAAAGGAAGAACCCGGACAATCGGGGGGGGAAATCGAAAAGAAGAGAAGAGATGAAGTGGAGAATCAAAAACCTTCGGGGCGGAGACGGTCCTCCGTGGTCGGCAACGGCACCTTGCCACTGTGTTGGATGTTAGACGAAGTACGGGCATACGCCTTTTTAATCTTATTCCTGCGCTAGATGCGCGTGTGCTTATAGTGCATGCTGAAAGAACCTGGTAAAAAAGTACTAGCTTACTATGGAGTGCTCCCATAGGTATGTTCTCCGACGTCCGTACTTCGTATAGTCCAAATCTCTTTTTGTCCCGTTTAACCCACAGTGGGGATACGGAATACGGACAAGCTTCCGGGGATATATGCATGAGATTTATATTTCTACTAAAGTAAGAAGGAGTAGTAAGTAGTACTAGGTAATAGTTAGATAGTTAACTATGACTCAAACACATCAACTCCAAGGGTTTTCCCAGGTGCAGGTGGAATATAAATCCATATGCATGGATACCTCAGGCAGAGATTGAGGGGTTTATCACCTCGTGATATCGGCTTACCTGAGCAACAGGCATGACATGATCACTTTAGACTTCCCCCTGGAGAGCTTCGTAACCTATTTAACTTCGCTTGTTCGGTAATCTTTCCTGTGAGATATGCCCTCATGATGAGACCTACTCCAGACCTCCCATTCTCTCGCAAACCCTCCGACCATCCCCCATCCCCATCCCTCGATCCCCGCACTGCAACCCCTGCGACCTTCTTCTTATCGCGCAATCCGCATGTCGCGGATTGGGATTCCAGTATATCGATAGATAGCCCCGAGGATGTCAAAGAGAATATGTATGGAGTACAAAGCCTAGATACCTCTCTGTCCCAATCAGAATTCCCATCCTGGCCCCGCAATCACTCCGCAGAGGACAGCCTGAAGCAGGCAACCGACGATTTAGAATCGCACCTCGCACAATGCCGGTCAACGTTAAAGCCGTTAAACTCAGACACCGGGGAATCATCTGAACATGCATCACCCGTTCATACAGTGTCTCGGCCCGTGACCCCACTTACGTTGGGCATCCCCGATGACCCATCGTCGCTGCCCAGCAGCCCTAAATCAATATCCAACCAGTCTTTGCGGCCACTCGACGATATCTCTATCACAGATGAAATCAATAGTCAGGCTATGGGATCTGGAGATGAAGACGAAATGCCCCATGAGTCTCCTTTTTTGGGCCCAGGTGGGGCGGCCTCCCAGCTTATCATGCCAAGCATCAAAATGCCTAGTCGGCGACCGTTCACTGAGCGAGGGAAAGCTATGGGACGATTCAAGGTCCTTTTAGCTGGTGCTCCTGGTAGGTTTCAACCGTTCTAGAGAAATTACACGGGCTAATTGTCTCGAAAATCAGGCTCTGGTAAGACTTCATTGATTAAGTCTATCGTTCAGACATGCGACGATATCGTTCATGTCGACGCCATCCCACAGATGACCTCTTCGGGACGCCGTAGATCTTCCCGGCCTCGATCTCGGGGGAGATCGACTGCTACTACGGAAATTTATGCTAGCACCAAACCTTATCCTTCATGGTGGTCGGATCTGGAAGATTCGCGCGTCCTTCAGCGGCGGAAAAGCATGGGGGAAATTGTGCTAGAGAGGAATCTCTGTTTCGTGGACACGCCTGCGACAAATCTAAGCCGAGCAGGTCAAAGCGACGCTATCGGGGAGTATATGAGACAACAATTCTTCCGTGCCACCACTGCGCTCAGTGGGTCTAGTGTTGATTTCCAAAATCTCCTAGCCGGGAATGGTGGATCCCAGGTGGATGCCATCTTATATTTAATTTCTACTGGTAGGCTTTTTCTATTCTATCTCCGAGGGATACATCCCAAATTAACTCCCGGTCGCTAACCTTCTACGTGCAGATACCCTCTCAACAGACGTGGAATGCATCCGCAAGCTCTGCGAGCTAAGCAATGTAATCCCAATAGTATCCAAAGCAGACACCCTCACCCCGACTCAAGTCACTCACTTGAAAGTCCGCTTCCACGAACAAGCTCGCGAGGCCGGAATCAAACCATTCCTATTCGGTGATCTGCCAAACGGTCAAGACGGGCTCGAATCCCAACCCCCTTATGCCGTCTCTTCCGAGAAAACAGTCGATGCCGAAACAATGGATGCAAGCACTCTAATGAGTCCAGACTACGTTCAACCACTCATACCCTCCGAACTAGACGCCCTAGTCACAAAAATGTTTGATCGCGACAATCTAGCCTGGATGCGCCATTCTGCCGCAAAGAAACTTCTCCAGCAACGCACGGACTCGTATTCGCTCCCTCCCTTAATGCCGTTACCTAGTGCGCAGCTGGGTCCTACCGCAAATGGGTCCGAATATGCATATAGCAGCTGGCGTTCCGTCACGGGAACCTCTATGTCGCCCGGCTCTCCCCCCGGCTATGCCATGGCCCGCATCGCAGACTACACCCGACATGAGGAGCGTATGGCGCAGGTCCGCCTCGCACAATGGGCGACAGACCTGCAGCGCAGCCTGCAGAACGAGCGCAATCGATACACCTCGATAGCCCGCGGCGAGCGCGCTATATGGCTCACCGAGCGGCTAGGCGAGTGTGTTATCGACGGCTCGTTGGTGCCTCTTTCACAGACGCCTGGCTTCTGTGGCTTGCATGGCCCCATCGACGAGAAAAGCCCTGGTGGGTTCCAGGTCATGCGCTCACATGCCGGTTCCGGGGCGGCGTATCGCTTCGCGAAGTACAGTCCGCATGACCCGCTCGGCGTGGTTGGCTGGATTGACGAACTCGGACATCGGAGCTGGATGCTTGTTCAGATTGTCGGGAGTGTAGGGGTTGTTGGTGGTCTGGCGCTCTGGCTTGCGCGCACTTGGGGATTTCCAACGCGCAGTCTTTCGGATTTCCGGGTCGATTATTGGTGTGGTACTATGGAACGGTAGGTCGATGAGATAATGAGGGTATGAGTATGTGATATTGGCTTTATAGAGTTAGGGTCTCCTAGTTTGTTGTCTGAAGCGTTCCTACTGGATGGGTTTTTGTTTCTCTGCTCTTTGTCTTCGGAAATCATTGCTATCATCTTCCTTCGGCGTCTTATGGCCGGTGTCTTACGGCTCTGGGACTATTCTCCTTGCGGTTCAGGGTCACGTAGCATATTCGGATAGGGATTACTTCACAGGGAAATGATAAACGTGATTTTTATTTGATTTTTATTCTGAGTGATTCATCTTAATCCTTTTATCTCGTCTATCATTGAGATTGGACATTGTCTGAACTATATCGACTTCGTTTTCGCCATTTCCATTCATAGATCCAAAGATGCTGCGATCTTCCATAACTTGGTAAGATGGCCGAGTTGGTCCAAGGCGCACGGTTCAGGTTAACCTGATCCCGATGGTATACAACTGTCTCCGTGTCTCGAAAGGGGCGTGGGTTCAAATCCCACTCTTATCATATCTTTTTGCTTTTTTGTTAGCGAGCATTATCTTTTGCCCTTATAGAATAATAACAAGGATACTAGTCTTATAGTCTGGCAGCGCCTTGTCATGTCGTTTTGGTAGTCTTTTCAGCAGTCTCCGTAAATTTATAGTATTTTCTCCCCCTTCTTAGGTAGACGGCGGGAAAAGACGCTTAATTGTGCAGACGACCTTCGTATGTATGACATTTGATTATGATGTTAGTAAAAAGGTCGTTGTTGCTTTTTGTTCATTTACCTTGCTACTAGTGAAGTATGTCGTCATAAAGGATGTAGCCAATGAACCTCTATCTATATCAATCAAATCGACAATTGGCCTGCCAACCGCCAGCACTCATATTGTTGTATCGATTTTTTTTGGAAATAATGCTAGGAATGTGTGATGTCTATGTGTTGCAGTTAGATAGCATAGGCGTGAGCAAGATTGATATAATCTTAGCCTCGGTCCTTACTCTTCTACATGAGATATACTACAAACCTGCATAGATCTTCATCTTAATTAATTCTATGGGATGATACGAGCGAAATCTGGATATTGCCAGGGAAAATAGAAGAGCGGGGTCCAACGAAAGAGTGTGAAGACGAGAAGCAATGGTCAATCCCTGGCATGAGATTATATCTCGCCCCAGGATTATGGCCACATCACGAGGCAAGGAAATCTATAGGTCTACTGAAGAAAATGGAAATAAAGGATAAGGTACAATCGTATTACAGTCAACTACACCCTTAAAAGAACAAAAGAGATATGGGCAATGAATCTAGGCACAAGTGGTCACATCAAATCCAAAACGAAGGGAACATAGTTTTCCCTCTCTACAGTGTAATGTATACAGGGATTTTAAACGGTCAGACCGAGGTCCTCGGCGAAGGGCAGCTGGTGAATATCACCCACGCTGACGAGGGTGGCCTTGCCAGTCAGGAAGGTGTTGGCGACCTACGGGTAACTGTTAGCATCATGAAATCAACAATGTGGATAGAGAAACAACATACCTCCTTGACCTGCTGCTCGGAGACCTTCTCGAGAGCCTGAGCAATCTCGTTGATCTGGTAGGGCTTGTTGCCGTGGATGAGGCCGGAACCGGTAGCCTCAAGACCGGTCTCGAGGGTCTGGACGGACTCCAGAGCGCGGAACTTGGCGAGGGCAATAGCCTTCTTGATGTCCTCGGAGGCGACCTCACCGGCGGCGGCCTTCTTGAGGGCATCAACAACGTTCTTGCTGGCAGCGCCGACCTGATCGGCCTGGCCAGACAGGGTGACAGTGAAAAGACCGGCATCAGAGTAGGCGTTGTTCTTGGTAGAGACGTGGAGCTGGTTGAAGCCCTTGGTGGCCTGCGACAGAAGGGAGAAGCCGGGGGTCCACTTGATAGTGGACTCACCGCCCAGAAGAGCAGCGAGAACGGAAGCCTCGGCCTTGTAGCCTGCGGTGCCGAAAGCGCTAGAACCGGGGAAGGCGATCACAACAGCGTTGCCGATCTTGGAGGCAATGCGCTGCTCACCACCGTAGTACTTGGAGGCGACGGAGGGCAGAACGTTGTATTTGCTGGAGGAGTGGCCGGCAGGGGTGTCCTTGAAGAACTGACCAACCCACTTAGTGACTTCAGCGGAGTTGGGGCCGCTGGCGACAAGAGCAATGTTGGACTTGGCGTAGGCGCTCTGGGCGAACTCTGCGAGGGCATCGCCGGAGACGTACTTCTCGTAAGGAGAGGTCTGGGAGGGGGTGATAGAGGCGCCCAGACCGCGGTGGAAAGCAACACCGTGGGCAGCATCGACAGCAACGGTCTCCGGGTTGGAGTGGACGGCCTGCTGCTTGTACTTGATGAGCTTGCTGACAACCTCGTGCAATTCGTGGTCTAATTTTATCGAAGGGGCCCGAGTCAGCAAAGGATGCTCATATAATTGCGATCCACCACATCAAAAGGGACTAACTCACCTGCAAACTTGGTCTGGGTAGCAACCTCGGCCAGCAACTCTGTGAAGTAGGGCAGATCCTTGGAGAGGAACTTGGTCCGGAGGACAATGTTTTCGCGCGAGTGTGTCGACGAGATTTCACCGCCCAGCAGCTCGGTCTCCCGGGTGATCCGCAGTGCAGACCGCTTGAGGGTAGTCTATTGAGGAATTGAATGATTAGTATCACCAATTATACCTGAGATGAATCAATTGATGCCATAAGACCGACCTTGAAAGCGAATCGATCGAGAGCATCGGAGAACCCAGGGAAGGGCTGGTAACGGGAGCCAGCCTTAGCAACCAGAGCCAGGGTGCCAGTAGGGCCCTGAACTTCACGGTTGGCGACCTTTACGCCGGAGGCTTCGGAAACATCGTACTGGAAGGCCGGGTTGAAAGCGGAGGCCATGGACCGACGGCCGGCGGCCAAAGCACGCGGCGCATTTCGGCTGAGGGAAGATCGCGACAGCATCGTCGCCTGTGCCGAGAATCTGTGAGAGAAGAAGAAGAGATATAAACCCGAATTGGGTTTGTAAAGAGGCGCAAATGAGGCGGGGGAGGAGGTGGGATGCGGAGAGAGCAAGAGAGAAGAGGCAGTTTGGGAGGTCACGAAAAGCTTCAAGATCCCGACTCGTCACTCCAACCAATCAGCGGTCAAGTAATCAAAAGCGCGGACGGAACCGGAGTTACTTTTATTGCGAGTAGTAGTTATATAGGACTTTTCTATTGTCTTTGTATCGATTGTTATAGTCTAATTGAGCGTTTTTAAAATCAATATCTCTATTCAAAAGAAAGTCCTGAGTATCTCTATTGTTTCCCCATTGTCTCTGAACAACGTTGCTGAATGAGGCATTTGAATCAGCTGATTGGCCATATCACGTGAATATACCGATAAGCAAAAATAAGAACAAAAGAACAATTGCATCTCATCGGCAGTGGATTTTTGGACTTGCAGGTATCTGCTAGCTTGTAAACCTTCATGAGCATTCGGTGACCCTCAAGTGCCCCCTCTCGAGGTTTGGTGGTGAATCTTCTCATATTTTTAGCCCACCATGATGATGTCTCAGGTATGCGCCTGTCCCGCTAACCTCGAGAGAGCTACTTACTGACATGAACGTAGTGCTCTACCGAGCTTTGTATGCTCTTGATCGAAGACAATTTTGGAGAGCTCTTTGCTGTGAGTCATCTTGTGCACACGCTCGGGCTATCGTGGTTCCTTGCGACAGCGGGGAAGGAACAGGGCTAACTAGTCAACTTTTCGCAGCGCATCTTTACCGTCCTTCAACGCTATGAAAGACTGACTCTCCCTCGGTTGAGATTCTACGCTCGCCTGACAGATCGCCAATTGCACCATGGTCTCTCCGCTATGATCCAGCACCACCTGATATACCACTTCACTTCCCTCGATGATGGCAATACCTACTACGAAGCTAATCCACAAGCCGCATACTCCCTCGTGCGATCTGGAAAGATTCTCCAGCTTGTTGAAACTCGATTGGGAGAATACGCGGCTCAGGTGTTGGAAGCAATTATGAGCCTCGGTCACTCCTCGATCGCCCACCTCGAGACGCTTCCCGAGCTTCAATCCAAGAGGCAGCGCATTCCGAATGGGGTTAACCAGGGTGAAAATACGGTCGAAAATACGGTCGAAGATACGGTCAATGGGAACGGGGAAAAGGAAGAAGATTCAGCTGCTCCTAACGGCAATCATGTTGTCAGCGAAAAACCGGTGCGCCTTCATCCCACCTTGAAGAGTCTTGCCTCTCACGGATACATCCATCGCCTTCGAGAGGCACATTTCCAAAGTCCGAACGACAACTGGATAGATGCTTCCCGAATCATCGCATCAAGACCAGATGTCAAACAAATGAAAGGCAAACAGCAAGCAACGGAGATTGAGGAGAAGGCGAAGGACTTGGTCAAGGAAAGAACTGAAGGAGATCTGAGCCGGGGCCTAATATACAACGGCCTCCCTCAAGGCGCCAAAAGAAAACGCGATCATGGCAACTCGGAGTCCAATAAGCAGGCGCCTAATGGCACCAATGGTGTCAACGGGGACCATGTAGAGGACGAGGGGGAAGAGGATAATGATTGGTCGGAAGATGAAGATGGCGTTGATTCAATCCCAATGGATGTAAGCTTTCGTTTTTCCTTGCCACAGCTTCGGGTCAACTAATAACCATTACCAGTCTAACCTTATCGTTCGGGTGAACTACGAGAAACTCGACGTGGCGCTTCGAAACACGCGGTTCCTCGACCTTGCTAAGCAAGATGCACCTTCCGCCTCAGTCGAGATTTACGACTGTCTGCTTCGGCGCATTGAATACCAAACAGCCCGCTGCCGAGACTCTTATGAAATCCCTCGTGAAGGAGAAGAAGGCGAACAATATTCTGCTCCAATTCAACTGAGCTCAATCGTCGAAGACGTTGACCCGAATCTGGATCTTACAGGATGTATTGGCCCGATGGAGCCCTCAACGGTGTTAAACCGACGCGGCAAGCGACCATTGGATGATGAGACGA